AAGTCATTTATCTTGTACATTGCGCCCCAGCCATCAAATTAAAGTGACATGGAATAGCAAAATAAACATCTTTTTTTATTTAAAAACAACACTAATTTTTGTTTCTTTCTTTATAAGAAAAAAAAGCGCAGATAAAAAAAGCAGTGTTGCATGCAGATTTCTAGCGAACTGGTGTATTGAGTGTGAAACACTGAAATACAAGACGTATAAAAGAGGCTCAATTACATGTACATGAAAGCTAAAAAGAGACAAGCAAAAATATAGATATGATTATAAAATAAAACAGTCTGTAAAATGATAGTGAAAAAAAAAACATTGACTGGAAATATCTGGTATAGGTAAACGTGAGAGTTGGTGGGATCGTCTGTGAATTCATAACAGCTACAGACAATTAGTTTACATCGCAATATAATGGTTGTGTTTATGAAACAAGCTAGCTGAGACAAGCATCTCACTCTGAATTCAAAAACCATCATTTTATGTACATAAATTCCTTTTTTAGTTTTAGATTAGAGCCAAATTAAGAGAGTGGTGCTTATCATCTGCTGATGAGACAAACCACTTGAGTCCAGCATAACCATCTCTCATGCTTCCCTGACATAAAACAACTATCAAAATTAAATCACATCAGCAACTGGATTGTCTAGACGTGTGCATTCGCCTACATGTACCACTACATAATTTAAAACTAAAAGTGAGTGCTGCTTCACAACATATATACACAACCTGTGCTTTCACAACATGCACATGTGGGGGATTGAATGTAGACATGAATACTGCTTCAGCTGTTGATGTTGTAGGTTTCTGGAAGATAATACCCCCTGTCGTCTCTCTCTCTCTCCCAAACACACCCACCCACCCTACCCTCCCCTCTCGCATAATAGTGGTAAATGTTATGTCAAATTGATTTCCATCAAACACAGTCGCTAGACACCATTGATTGGCTTATATAGCAGAGTGGTGACGTATTTCTTCCTGTATCGCTGTGTCATACTCAGAGCCATCACGCCATCCTGAAAGTATCAAAATACTATTGGTTTGATTTCCCATTCTCAAAATTTACATGAGTGTAATGAATGAAAAAAAAAAAAAAAAATATGTACAAAAAAAAAAACCACCATGAAAACCAACCATTCTCTTATCCTTTTAAATGGGCTTGTAGTACAATGTTGTAACGTATTTCTTCTTAAAACGATGTGTTGCGCTTAATGCCATGACGCCGTCCTATAATGTGAAAGTGAAAGGAGTTTGCGGTTTGAACACGTAACAATGGACGTTAATGAACTCCACACAACAGATACATGCCCACACGGAACACAAGACATAACTACGAATGACAAACAACAAATGTACACAGACATGCACACAACAAATGTGTATTACTGCAGATTGGTGGGAAAGCAAGAGCATAGCAGAGTTATTAGTGACTTGGTGTGCATATACACAACATAGTGGGTGTTTGAAAACTATGGGAGAAAAAACACATAATAAGAAAACGGTTAAAACCCTACACTGAGTGACATTTTCATTACAATTGGAATGAATGATAATGGATACACGCCAAACAAAGAATTATTAATGTGAAGTATTCACAACTAAGCTAAAATAAATCAACAAGGGACAAAACGTATCTAAAACTGAAAAGATACTACATATACCACTATAATTGTTTTCAAGTATCATGGTAAATATTGAGTCAGATAATACTTGTCGTGATTCGAAACTAGATACATCTGCCAGAGAACGGTAAAAAAAAAACAATTGGAACATAGATCTAAATTCATATGAAAAATAACACCTTGAATAATAAATAACATAATTTGATGCGAGTGAATGTTATAGCAGGTTATGTTAATATGGGCAAGGAGGACAGAAATTTACTTGACAACTGATTTAGATTTAGCATACGATAGGATGAGGTATGAAGTAACACAGTGCCTTGTGAGATTCAAAGCAATTTTGTCATGCGATAGACCGCAATGCATACATTTGTAGACTGAAAAAAAAAAACATTCCTTGATTTTTCTTTTTATAAAAAAGAAGTATAATAATGAAAACTTAACAGTTTGTATCAATTGTCTGTTGCATTTGAGGGATGCTACTGAGAAACTTAGGCGAGGGTTCTCCGAACCCGCCTATTCACATAGTTCATACCCACCATAGACTCCGGTCAGTCAAAATGACTATTTTGAACTGTGGGCATTAATCAGCGAATTCTGCCGGTGACGGAGAGATAGAATCC